AGAGAGCCCTGCACAATATGCTTATAATCTGAGCCATAATGGACAGTTTGCAGTCAACAAGCCCCTTCTCCCATCTCTGCCATCGCTCCCGTTGACATCTCTCTTGCCCAGGCCACCATGGCCACTTCCCCTGCCAGCAGGGGTGGGGCAGTGGAACAGGGCTGGGAGGAAGCCGGCAGAGCTTGGACCCACCAGTGGATTTCCCGGCCTCTCCCCTCCTGGCTCTGCCCTTGGCCCTGCCTCTGCTTCTGCAAGCCCCCCAGGTCCTTGCCTTGTGAGTCTCTGCTCCTGGGACTCTCCGCCCGATGAGTGGCTGGTGGAGCCAGCTTGGATTCGGCGAATAAGAGAGTCCCCTGTTTCCACCAAATGGTCCTCAGAGGAAACCTCGCTTTCCCGGGAGGCTTTGGGGAAGGGTGATGGTGACCACTTCCGGAGGTGGAGAGTAGCTGCGAGGAAGAGTCTGAGATCTCTGGGCTTGCCTGGCCCCTGAGCTAACCAGAGGCCTCTTTGGATCTTCTGGAAGCTGGGCCCACTCCTGGAAAGGTGTGGGAGTACAGAGGAGACAGAAAGAAGGGGATCTGCTGAAGGCAAGGGAAGAGAGACAAAGACCCTGCTGGGGCTGGCCTGGGTGCTCAGGGCAGCAGCGGCCCCTCCCACTGGGCGAGGAAGCAGACTCGTGGCCACATTTGGGCCCTGTCTCCTACACTGGTCCCAGGATTGTGTGATTGGGATCCTTGGTGGGCGATGTCTCAGTCTCTGTTTCTCATCTGATGCTTGTCAGTAGCTTTGAGCAGACCCCCCCTGGCTTTATCAAAGGAAGAGAGACGTGATCCTGGCAACAGGGCTGTAAGCCAGAGAGAGACCTCTACAGGGCAGGAGGGCTTGGCCTGACAGGAGACTGGCACAGGAGAGGGGAGGAAATGAGAGCTGGCTTCTCAGGTTGGTAAGAATGGGCTCCCTCTGGTGAGTTCCCAGATGGGCACCTGCTCGTCCAGCATCAGGCAGAGGAGCCAGCCCATGCCAGCTGCCTGGTCCTGGGATCTCAGTGAGTCCTGGCCCCGGAGGTCCTGGCCAGGGCTGCCAGCCCTCAGACCTGCAGCCCAGTCAGCTGAGTCTTCATTCATAACGGGATGGACATCAGGTTGAATACATTAGTGTCGGTCAGGCCAGAGGAGCGGGATGGCTAAGCCCCCCTTAGCCCTGGTGGTACTTCTTCTCTCCCGTACTGCTCTCTCTCTCCGCCCTCTGCACATCATCTTCTCCTTCTGACCAACCCCCCTCCTCCCATCGCTCCATCACTCCGAAGGGCAGGCTTTGGCAAGAGGGGGCCAGACCTAGGTTCTTCCCATCCTCTCCCAGTGATTTTGGGGGTGGGCAGAGGGCGCAGCAGGGAGAAACCAAGCAGCGAATTAAAGTTTGGTGATTGTCAGTGTCAGGAGAAGCTAAATAACCCTGTAACTAGTATGAAGGTGAATTCACGGTCTGCTGCACATGGAAAATATGAGTGCTCTGTGAGACGGGGAGAGTGAGCACAGAGTCGGCCTGCCACGGTGGGCAGCCTCCTCTCCAGGGACGCGGGCGGGGAGGCAGGAGGAGGGCCGTGCACTCTCCCATCCCTGCCAGGGAGCAGTCGCCCAGGAGCCTCGACCAAGTACTGGGGGCGGGCAGCTCAGCTGCTTGACAACCCGCTGGCCCGGCCCCGAGGCCCCAGGTAGACATTTGTAAGCCCCAGCAGTGTGAGTACATGGATACCAGCCCAGGCCCCAGGATGCCAGCCCATCCTCCGCGATCCATGTGAGTGACTGCTCGTGGATCCTTACTGAGCGTTACTCTGTGCCAGGCTATGAGCTCTGTCTGCCCTTATGACAGCTCGATGCAGTAAGTGCTGTTATCGTTCCCCCTTTTTATCCCCACTTTTTTATAACCACTTTATTGAGACATAATTCACATACCAAGTGTACAGTTCAGTGGTTTTCAGTATATTCCCAAGGTTGTGCCACCACCACCACTATCTAATTTTAGACTCTCTCCATCACCCCAGAAGGAAAGCCCGGACTCATGAGCAGTCACTCTCCATTCTCCCCTACCCTCAGCCCTCGGCAATCACTAGTTATTATTGACTTTGATGCTGAGAAAATGGAGGCTCAGAGAGGGTCAGTGACTTGATTGAGGTTGTACAGCTGGTGAGAGAGAGAGCTAGGGTTTGAACCCAGGTAGTGGGACTGCAGTGCCCGTGCTCCGTGAGGGACTGCCCGATGTCCTGGCTGCCTACCCCCCACCACGTGCCCCACCAGATGTTTCTTACAGCATGGGCTCAGGCGTTGTATGAGCACCATCCCGACACGTAGACCCAGGTGGCAACACGCGTCTCTCTCCCCAGGTGTACTTGGGATTCCACATAGAAAAAGTCACACGCCTCAGAAGGACAGCCCACCTCCCCTCTTCCGCAGCCAAGCTCCTGGAAGGGAGGGCTGCCACACAAACTCGCAGCAGCAGGGGAGCCCAAGTGGCCAATGAGACCTAGGTGGTTTGGAGCTTTAAGATGAAAAATCCCCATTATCTCCTGTAGCTGATAATTGTAACTGAAATAAAATGCCAACATAATATTCCAGAAAAGGTCCCTGCCCAGGTTGGGGCCACAGGCTGGGCCGTGCCGCTGGGGGCAATGCAACGAGCTCGGTTCCCCGCATCACACTTGCTCTGTTTTTCCTTCTCTCTCTTTCCTTCTGTCTTTCTCTCACTCCCTCTGCTTCTGTCCTGTTTCTTCTCGCCTTTTTTCCTCCTGCCTGCCTCTTTCTTCTTCACATGTCCACTTTCCCACCCCAAAACTTTAACAAAACAAAACAAAACAAAACAACTATTTGTGACCACACTCTTGCACTTGCAAAATTTGGGAATTAATGTGAAACTGTTACTGCCTCTGATAAGAGATAAATACAAGGATGAGAGAGACAAAGGGAAAGGTAGAGAATGAGTCTGTTGGATTTGGTTTGGGGTTTTTTCCTCCTTCTTCTCTCTCCCTCCAAAGCGGAGGATCCGGCCGGGCCAGTTTGGATATTTATTAAGAAAAAGCCAAAGATAATTAACTTTTTTGTTTTTGTTTTGTTTGCGGGTGCCTCCCCTGCTGGCACTCCTGACTGCCTGGCAAATTAAACCTGCTCCCTGCTCCCTGGGTGCTGGGCTGCTGGCAGCTTGGCTGCTGGCAGCTCAGCTCCTGGCTGCCCTGAAACGGCCAGGCCCAGCGGCTGCCCACCCAGCCACCCACCTTGGGTTTCAGATCTAGGGTCCCTTTATGCTACCACCGGTGCCACCTCCCCAGGCTCTTCTGACTCCTAGAGCAGGCTTTAGAGTGGGGTAAGTGGCCTGCGGGTGCGGGGGAGGGAGGGTGAGAGAGGAGGGGCTACCGTTGGGGTTATGGCCAGCACTTCCCTAAAAGGAGATGGGGGCAAAAGAGTGAGCTCTCGCGCGGGGCAAGGGTATTCCTTCTGGCCAGTTCAGCCGGTCAGCTTCCCAGAAGAGGGTAAGAACAAGGAATGAGCTAGAAGTACAGGGAGAGGCCAAATTTGGGCCATGTCCATCCCCAGCTCTTCTCTCAGGAGGCTGGTACACAGCCAGGACCCATGGCTCCTGGGAATGCTCTGGAGAAGGCTCGGGGCCACGGAACCCTCCCATGATGTCTGGCCACCCTCAACATCGGGTTCCGTCCTACTCCCACCTCTGACCCAGCCCAGGCCATCTGGGGGCCCGGCTGGGTGGTCAGAGAGCCAGCCACTGAGTAAGAAGCCGGCTGCCTCTGGTCTGCTGCTCTGAGGCCAAGCTGTGACCTGGGCCCGAGCCATGTCCACGGGCCAAGAAGGTAGCAGTTATAGACCTCACTCTCCGTGGGGGACAAAGTTGAGGGCATCTTAGGAGCCAGGACAGCCAGTGAGGACGCGAGTCCTCTCTAGGGGCCGGCCCAGCTCCAGCTGCTTGGGGTTGGAGGTGTGCTTTGCCCCTCTGTTAAATTAACATGCCTCAGGCCCTCCCCTGACAGGGCCCTCTCCTCTGCCCCCCTGGCTTCGTCCTCAACCTGGCAAGGAGGCAGCGGTGTGCTGTCCCTCCAGGTGGGGAACCTGCTTTGGAGCTGGGCACAGAGAGTAGGGCATTTTCCGAGGATTTTGCTGGCCCCCCCTTTTTTTTCTCTGAAATATAAGGATGTGCAATTTTTTTGGTTTCAATTTAGCATTGGAGAATTTTATAATTTAGTAATTAAAATCTCTGATAGGCTTTAGAAATTGCGGCTAATTGAATTTAATGGGAAGATGATTTTCAATTTTATTTGATTACCGGGACCCCTGGCATTGGTATTTATGGGAAAAAAATGGGAAATGTGCTGTGTGGGCTAAGATGGCATAATTGAATTAGGGATAATCGGATTTCTCCGTCATGAATTTCACTATAATTTTCCTATAATTTTCCATTAGATATCTAGTTTACAAATATTCACAAAGAAATGAAGCTCTTTCGGAATGGAGATTGCTGGCTAACAGGATTACGGCGCTGAGCGTGCGGCCGTGCCAGCCCCTAGACCGCCATAATGCGATCCCTCTATCTGCCTTATGCTTAGCTCGAGCCTGGCCTCAGCCCCTCGCTCCGCCACCCACTTTGCTGTGCCTCTCTGCTCTTTGTTTCCTCTTCATCCCCGTTTACCCCCTGCCCCGATACCCACCCATCCGGGGCCCGTGACCTCTCGTGCCCTACTGGCAGGCTATCCCATCCCCGCGCCATGGCATCTGGGCTCTGCCCTCCATGCCCACCATCCTTCCCATCCACAGTTTGCTCACTCAAGGCTCCCCCTGACCCCTCCCGCCGCCCGCCTGGGGAGTGCGCTCACACGCAGGCACACAGACTCCCCGCAGGTGCGAACATGCTTGCTCACATGTACCCGCAGTCGTCTGGCCAAGGCTCCCGTGTCCTGGCCTAGTCGCCTCAGAGGGAACCAGTTTATTGGCCAAGGCTCCTGTGTCCTGGCCTAGTCGCCTCAGAGGGAACCAGTTTATTGGGATCCTGGGGTGGGGTGCAGGAACAAAAGGAGCTTTGTTCAAGTTTATGTGAAAGTTACAAATTCAAAATGAGAGCAGATAAAGCATGAGATACCTGGTGTGTAAATAGGCTGGTGAGTGAGAAGGCCCCGGGCTCGGGAGGGAGAGAGACTGAGTGGGCAAACTGGGGATGCGAGGGCGCCGGGAGCCAGCGAGGGAAGGTTGTCCTGGGACAGCTGACAGGTTCCCCTGGACCCGTGTGAGGGGCCCGGTGGGTGGCATTGCTGGGCAGGGCTCCACGTTTCCCGTTGGAGGTGGGGTGTGAGAGGAGGAGCTGGTGGCTCTGGGCCCAGGGCCTCGAGACCAGGAGGGATTGTGGCACTGGGCTTTCCATTCCCCGGGCCCGAGGCACAGAAACCATGGCCTGGCCTCAGGGTCGAAGAGGTGTTACCACATCAGGGCTCTCAAGGCAAAATGGGCCATAGACTCAGAGGTGCCAGGGTTCTGGGCCTTGGTATGAGTACACACACGGAGAGAAAGAGAAATCGGGGGACCCCTCCATGACACGGCCTCAGCCTTCTCAAATCTCAAATCATAACATGCTAAGATGGCCTCATTTTCTGTGCCTCTCAGGAAGGCCCCTCGCTCGTGGGCAGAGCCTCTGAAGCCTGCAGTGGCTGATTGTGGCCATCGTCTCGGCAGAGCTGAGGCTCTCCGGGCGGCTCACGCCTCCCTCTACCACTGGCTGCGCTTGGCGAGCCCCTCTCGCCCGCCCTGCCTGTTCCGCCTTCCGTCCGGCTCTCTCAGTTCTATCCCTTCAGCCATTCCTCTCCAGCCTTTGTCCACCAGAGGCCCCCAAGTTATTGTGCAGCCAATCCTGTGGGTCCTGCGTGAGTGACTGGAAGGTATGCCCTCCCATGCCCTGACCACCATCAGCAGAAGCCCAGAAGGACATTCAGAGGGAGCCCCTAGGCCGTGTGGGTCACATATGCAGGGAGCTCCCCATACGTGCACATTTCAGATGCACCCAGAAATCACCCTTCTACCCCTAGGTCTTCAGGCTTCCTTCTACGTCCCAGTTGCTCAGATGGGGAAGCAGACACTTCAGGATTGGGATTTGGGTTTGACTGACTGCTGTTACAACCCAAAGCTGTAAGCCTTGCTTTGGGGAGTCATGGGTGGGAGAACCCAGCGGCATGTGTGTACCCCAGAGCAGTCCTGGACACTGCAGGGCCCTCTCTGAGATCCCACCTGGGGAGAAGCTCATGGTCCTTGCTGCCTGGTTGCTCGGTGCCAGCAGTTTTTGTACCAGCCTCTGGGGAGCACAGGGCTTGGTTTGTTTAAGGAGCTCTGCTCCCTTGTTCAGGGTTTTAGGACTGTGGGACACTCAGAGCTCCTGGGCCTCTCCAGCTACTCATCCTCCATAGGCATGGGGCAGGTCTGAAAGGTAGAGGGTTGTGTGACAACCAGGAATGGGGGTTGCCAAGAAGGCAACAGGGAGAGCAGTCGAATGGGGGAGGGATGTTAATCTCCCTGTGAGGCCATTTGGAACTAAAGTGCAATTTAAAAAGTAAATAAGTAAATAAAGGGAGAAGAAAAATAAGGGGAAAGTGGGAAAAAGAGTAGATTGTTAACTCCCTTACTTGCCCCAAGGCCTCCCTGGGCCCTTCCCTTTGCAAAAGAGAAATATTGCAAAAATAGTCCAGTGCCATTTTGCTTAATGCTGCCGGAAGACCAGAGAAAAGAAAACCTGAGTTCTGGTCTCCTCCCCTCATTGAAGGCAGTGTGGCCTCCCCTGAAACAGGAGAGGGGAGGAAGGCAGCAGGGTGGCTGCAGAAGGGACAGACGGAGAGCTGGGGACAGTGAGATCCAGGTACTTCACAAGCAAAACTGCCCACCTTCCTACTCGCCTGCCTCTTTCCTTGCCTCCTACCCAGTGGTTAACTTAGATGACTAAAATTTAAGGAATCTCAACATATCTGGCTGCAGCAGGGACATCTGGGGACCGAAAGATACACCTAAGTGCTTTCTCTGGGGGGAAAGGAGGGCAAGGAGAGAAGTTGCCCTGGTCCAGCGATGAACTGGCAGACAGGAAATGCGGCGATGTCAGAGGGGGCAGGTGGCAGGACGCTGGCTCCTTGGTTGAGGGTGTCTGTGCCCTGTCTGCCACGGCCCCGCATGGGAGGTGGCAGAGGCAAGAGGGCCGGTTGGCAGCCCAAGTGACAGCGCGGATCCGTGGTGGCGGCCCTCGGAGGACAGGCGACCAAGGCAGGGTGAGGGAGGAAGGAGGTGCCGTCCCCACTGCGGGGCTGGGGGCGGAACTGCGGGGCAGCGGGAGGAGGAAGGCCTGGAGAGCAGTGATGTGGCGCGGAGCCGGGGTCCACCCGGAATCGGCGTGGGGGCGGGGGAGCCAGGGCTCATTAAAAGGCGAAACCAAACCAAGGTGGCGCAGCCCTGGGGGTTCCCGCACTCGTGAAGCCTGCGGCGGGCACGGTGTGCGGAACAGCGCGAGGCCGATGCGAGTGTTCCCCGGGACACCCAGGCCCAAGGCCCCAGAGTCTTTCCTCTTCAGAGCTAAAAAACACCACCGCCAACAGCAACAGGAAGAGATTCAGGGATGGGGAGGAAACGAAACGCCTGGTACCAGCACCCAGAGCCCGGGGGGCGTACCAGGGCGCGCGGCTCGGTGGGCGCTACCCCGCGGCGCTCACACCTGCGCCCGCCGGCGCGGAAAAGTTTGCTCGGCTGCGCGCGCCGCGAGCCCTCGGCCGGCCGGCGCCGGGGAGTGAGTCCGCGCGGCCGCCATCGAGTCGCGCTCGGCGGGGCCGGAGCGCCGAGGAGAGCGTGCGAGCGCGCGCCCGCCCGCGGCGTCCGGCCAGAGTTGGCGCGGGGGAGCGAGCGCGGGCCGCAGGGTCCTCTCGGACCGCCGCGTCCCCCTCCCGCCTCCCCTCCCTCCAGTCCCCGGGCGCCGAGTCCCCGCCTCCCTCCTCCGAAGTCTAAGGTTTGGGCAATCGCTGAGCCAATAAGGCTGGCCGCCCGGGCCGGTGCGCTGAGGCCGCGCGCACGAGCGTGAGGGAGCGGGCGCGGGGCGAGGGCGCGCGTGTGAGGAGCGCGCGCGCGCGCGAGGGGACGGACGGAGGCGCGCCTGTAGGAGCGGGCGCGGGGCGGGCGAGCGCGAGCCCATTCACTCCAGCCTCCCGCGGGCGGGCGCGCGCGCGGGCGGGCCGAGCTCTGCTCTTTCACCTGCCGGGGCGGTGCGGGCTGGGCCGGGAGGAGGCGGTACCGCGGCCGCCCTGCCAATCACCTCGGCGCCTGGCAGCGCCCCCGGCCGCTCCCGCCCGCCCGCCCGCCTGCCCGCTCCCTCCTGCCAAACTGTTACCCTGAGTGTTACCGTCAGGAGCAATGACATCAGGGCTTTAAAACAACTTGTTATTCGGGGAGTAATCAGTCGCAATTAGGCATTAATTAAGTATTATGAAAGTTGATTATTTAAGTGAATTCGGCTTTCGACTCTCCGACTATGGTGAGTACCGGAGTGGGGCGGGGAGGGCAGGGGGAGCCGCCGCGGGGCTCCGACCCTGGCGCGGGGGCGGGGGCGGCGGGAGCGGGGCCGGGCGCGGGCAGGGGCGCCCCTCGGCCTCGAGGGCCGGCCGGGTCCCCCGACCCGGGCCGCGTCTATAAATAGTTTCTCTTTTAGTTTAATAAACTCGAGAGCAGAGAGGAGCTGCTTTGAGTGTGCAGTGCCGGAGCGCCAGAGAGAGAGGGGCGGGAGGGAGAAACTTTCGCTCTCCCTCCGGGTCTCCCTTCTCATTTCTCCCCCAGGCCCGGGGACTTGACCGCCCCTCGATGGGGGAAGGGTGCGGAGAGCGGAGGGGGAAAGCTGGGGTGGGTAGCGGGGGGCACTGCGAGAGACTAAACAGATTTCTTTTCTTTCCTCTTCTTTTTTTGGCGTTCCTCGAAGAGTTTGGGACCAAAGAGAGGAGAATGGATCTTGGTACAGGTACCGGCCGGTGGGAACCAGGGGTGGCTCTTTCACTTTTCTTTCGGTTCTTTTACGGAAGTTATTATTTTTAGCCCAATGAGGTAGCAGCTGAGCGGGGCGCGGGGGGGTGCTGGTCTGGAGAGGGTCCGGTGCGGGCTGCGCTTCTTGCCTGGGTTTCTGGATCGTGAGGCTTCCGATGATATTATTGTTATTATTTGTTACTTGCTTAGGGACTGTGACTAATTTGATGCTTGTCATTGTGAAAGAACCTAGGGGAGAGGGAGCTGGGGGGCACACAGAGAGAGGATTTAGGGGGTTTTCGTGGGGTTTTTGTTTTTTGCTCTCCGTGTTTTTTGAACGGCTGCGTGTTTTTTCTGTTTCTTTTTTTTTTTTTTCCTTCTCCAGCGAAGATCTCTGTGTATCTGGCTGTGGGGTGTGTGTTTTTATTTTTTTAGTGGGGGATGGTTTAGTTTTTGAAAGCAGCGTCCTGTTGGGAAAGGCGGTTAGTCTGGTTTCGGGGCGACTCTCTCAAGGTAAAGGAATTTAATTTATGTGGGACGAGGCTGTGTCGGGTGATCAAGCTGCTTATTATGGCCAATGAGTATTTTTCACCTGAGAATCCGTGGGATGAGGCGGCTGTTATCAGTTCAAAGTGAGGGGCCAGGACTCTCTCCCATCCCCCTTAGCCCCTACCCTGGGAGAGGGTAGACCAGACAAACTACTGAATTTGGACGTATGGGTTTTGGGGGGCCTAGCATGGCGCCTAGGTTAGGGTTCCACATAGCATAGTGCTGGCCTGGAGCAGAGTTTATGCTGAGATTTTGGTGTGTTATTGGTTTTAATCTAATTGTATTCAACATTTCTCTTCTCTTCCTATCTGAGGTTCCAGTCTGAGCCCAGAGTGAGGTTTACTTTACGTTCTTCAGGCTTTCCCTTAGCCCTCTGTACTGAAATGGAATTTTGACCAGGCCCCTCATGCTAGGCTGACAAGAGCGCTGTCTTCTTGCTAAATGTCTTTAAAAGAAGTCAGTGATAAACAGGTTCATAATTCATTGAGATTGATCTCTGAACCCTTCTGTTTCATTTGTAGAAGGTGGTATGGGTGACTGTTAGAGTGGTTGTTTATAATGGCCCAAGTTCATGGCATTGCCCCTTGGGATCCATGGGCTGACATTTGACCTCCTGAAGTCAAAAGGGAGTGGGCAGAGAGGGCAGGAGGCAGCACTAGGGGGCCCAGGATGGGTGACAGGACATGGCAGCGGCTTTGGGAAGGAGAGAAGTGTGTTTGTTGGGGAAGGAATAGTAATACTATGTCCAGCCAGGTGTGATCTTGGAGAATTCGATGTGGAGGTCCTGGGGACCTCTGTGCCCAGGAAAGGTGCAACAACCCCTGCTGGGCAAAGTGATTAAGGTATCTAAGGCCACTGCTGCCACCCTGCCCCTCCCTGCCCTTCACTCCCACAGAGAAGCAGCCCCCCCCACCTCTAATCAGGTGTCTCATCGCCTCCCTCTCAGGCCCCACCCCCTTTCTTCAGAAATTCCCCCAGCTAAAAGCATCCCAGCTAAAAGCAGACTTTATAGATGGGCCGGTGGTGGTAATGCACCACCCCCTACCTGGGACAGGTGAGCCTCTGCTTGTGGGCAGGCACAGGGGACCTAGGCATTACTTGGCTGGAAGTCAGGCCCTCAGCTTCCTCCTTCTAACCCAGATGCCAACTGGAGCTGGAGTCCACCCTCCTGCCCTATTCCCACCTGCTGTCGGGGCACAACTCCAAAGCCCTTCTGTAGGGTATCCCCGACCGGAGAGAGGGCCTCCTGGGCCTGCAGGTGGCAGAACCTCTTGTAGCATCTCTCCCAGCACTTACTTCTCCCAGCCCTCTAGGGACAGGCTCTGGAAACTTTTCCTAGAAGTTAGAAGGGCCCCTGTGGTCAGCTCTGGTCCCTCCCGTAGCTGCAGCAGGGCCCTCCCAGCAGGACCCAGGCCTGGACTCTGGCCGCTCAGTGAGAGGAGGTCCAGGGTGTCAAAGTTCTGACTGTTTCCTGGAGAAGTCATCTGGTGATACCATCTCAGCTTTTTCTTTGAACTTGAAAGTTTCCCTTAATCTCAGAACTTCAGAAGAAAAGCACTTTTTCCCCTCTTCACAAAAAAAGGGAAGCAGGTGGGAGCTCTGAGATCCCCCTCTGCGCCTGTCTCTGGGCTCACTGCGTGCTCATCTTTCCTCAACCTCTGGGATGTACTTCTGCACACAGCCAGGGCCAGGGGCCTCGTTTCTGGCCTGGACTCATTGCTGATGTGATGAGGGGCTCTCTTCTTTTGGGGGACCACAGGAAGCTTCTGCCGAGGGCCTCTCTAGCACAGCACAAGGCTGGAGACACAGGGCCCAAAGGGTTGCTGGTACCAGGGGACCCAGTAAGCGTTGGGTCGTGGGTTAACATCACTCCAGGTCTAGGTTCTGAAGCATTACAGCCATAAGCAGTTCAGTGGTGGGAGAACCAGGGCTTCTCAGGAGGGGACAGCAGAACCTCAAGACCCTCAGGGGCCATGTGGACCCCTTTTCTTCCACCATAGTTCGGCCAAGGGCTGGATCAGTCTGGAGGTCTTGAGCAATAAAAAATGCCGATGTCGTCCTCGTTCACCAGGCCCCGAGATGACAGCAAATTTACATTTTTTAATTAAACTAGCAGCCAGTTTTTATGAGAGGGGGTTGGGTTATGCAAATCAAATGGTTGTGTACGGAAGATTAGGAGAGTTTGGGAATAAATTCCACAAATGCTAATAAAAAAAAAAGGAAAGAGAAAGAAAGGGAGGGAGGGAGGAGAGAGAGGAAGAGAGGAGGACATAGTTCCATTAGGCCCTTTTAGAGTGATTTCCCTGGAGGAGGGAGTCAGGAGGGGGAGGGGAGGAGGCAGGAAGCTTTCAGACACAGGTAAATCCAGGCTGCAGTTGGGAAGCTCCCCAGGATTAGGCCCCGCTAGGCCGATTCCTAGGCCCTGAAAAAAACTGGAGGCCAGGGTGAGAAATGGCTTTGAAACAGCAGTAGAGCTTTGGAAAGGAACTTGCCCCTGATTCTTGAGGAGCTGGTTGTAATTGCCCCCACTCTCCCTACGGAGGTCTTGAGGAGAGGGGGAGGGGCTGTCCAGGGCTAGAGCTGTCCATCAGAGGATGCAGGGTAGGCTCTGCCAGGTAAAGGGCCAAACAGGCAAGAGAGCAAGTTCAAAGGGCTGACCAGGGACCACAGGGGGAGCCATGAGGGGCACCACTGCCCACTTGGCGCTGTGGCTGTAGCTGTGTTGTCAGGGTGAGTCAGGGGGAGGGATCAGTGCTGCTTACTGAGCCAGGCCTGCTTCTTTTTCCCTGGGATAAGCTCTGCTGGGACTCCAGGCCTGGACCCCCTTACATTGCATACAGACCAACCCCACCCCCCGCACCCCACATTGTATCCTGGCCCCAGCATCGGCTGTGGACGAGGCCAGGAATGATGGGGTCAAGGGAGCTGAGACATGTTGTCTTAGTAGCCTGGTTCTTGGGGTGGGATGTCCACATGCTGGCCACGTGCTTCGCGGACACCACAGTCTCGAGGAGGGGAGAGGAAAGGCCACAGGCTTCTTCCAGGCAGTAGCTGACCCCAGAGAGCAAAGAATTTGCCTTCCCCAACCCAAAGTTGCTGCTCTGAGTGTCAGCCCACCTCCAGACCGTCAGGGCTGCTGTGAGCCACCGGTTCAAGGCCAGGGCCTTGCCAGGAGTGGAGGCTTCTGGGAACCTTGCTGGCTCTGGTCACACTGGGGCCTGGGAAGGTTCTTGTGCTGTTTCTGGAGGAAGAGAGTCCATGCTGAGTTTGGGCCAGAGCAGGTTGTCCTCAGTTTTTCTTCCTCGAGCCTTTACTTGGCCAGGTACACCCACTCAACCAGTCTAAGCTGGGGCCAGTCCCTACGGTCAGGTTGGGCACTGGTTTTGCCAGTCTGCTGCAGGGGGTAGGTGCTTCGGTGCCGTCTTGGCAGGAAGGAGGAGTCGGAGCCAAGGACAGGATGGGCCGTCTCCGAACTCGCGAGCTTCCTGGTACCGTTCAGAGGCCGGCTGTGACGTCTGGGGGGGCATGAGCACCGGCTGACCTTTAAGGTCTCTGGTTGTCCGGCTCCCAACCTGATTTTCCTGAGAGGGTTCAGTGGGGCATCTTGGGAGACGGGTTGAGTGGACGAGGTGAGAAGCACACATTTGGACCTTCTCTTTGGAACAAAGCATTCGAGACAGGCAGCTCTGGTTTGCGAAGTGGCCCCCCGAACCAGCCCTGGCACTGGTTATAAGATACAGGAGCAAAACTCTGGATATAAGGCCTGCAGTAGCCATTCTCCAACAGGAGGCAGAGGCAGCGAGGGCAGGTCTGAAAGATCCCTAGAGGGACCCAGGGATAGACCTCTCCTGTCTAAGAAGGGCACTGGGTCCAGTTAGTCAGACCTCTCCGAGGGCTTCGCCGTCACTGCTGGTGTTCCCCCATCCCCCAGAGCCAGGGCATCGGGCTGAGTTGCAGCTTGGGTTTTTATGATGGCAAAATAAAATAAATGGAGACACCTTTGGAGGGCTGAGTCACGGCAGCAGCATCTCCTCATTAAAGCTGCTGCCCCTGGCTCAAGTCCCTGGGCAGAGGATTGGGTGGGACCCAGGAGGCTGTGGGCCCAGGCTTCTCCTCTTCCTGGACCCTGCCGGGTTAGTGATGCACCTGCCCCCTCCGTCAGCCTCCTCTGCCTGGCCCACCGTTCTTAGAAGAGTCAGGCCATTTCTTTACGCCTGTTCCCCACCCTCGCTCTCCCACCCCAGGCCCCAAGGCTTGTCCTTTGCACTGCCCTCCCTGAGCTGTTGCCTTTTTTTTTTTTTTTGCGGTACACGGGCCTCTCACTGTTGTGGCCTCTCCCGTTGCGGAGCACAGGCTCCGGACGCGCAGGCTCAGCGGCCGTGGCTCACGGGCCCAGCCGCTCCATGGCATGTGGGATCCTCCCAGACCGGGGCACAAACCCGCGTCCCC